GCATTTACTCTAAAATCAACATTTAAGTAGAAAATCATTAAAAATGTTTTTTTAGCATCTTAATAGGTTCCACATGGACAAATGCAAGGAGAATTTAGGCTGACAGTGTGTTTATTCAATAGCAAAAATATAAACTCCTTAATCCACAAGAGGCAGGCAAGTCCAAACATATATATCTCATTTTCAAGGCGTGGGATACATAAGTAAATGCCATTTGGTCCTCATTAAGTCTAAAAGCAACAACACATTTATGTTCCAAAGTAAATTTACTTGCAGGTATCCCCAGCAGCAAGATATTCAAAAGCAGCAAAAATGTGGGAAATACCCATAATGCAACACACAGTTAATATCAGATTGTCTACATACATGAAAAAGCACGTCACCCATCTCTTTTTATGCATACATATGCTGTTTTAAGATAATTTTAACACTGTGCAAAGATTTCTGTGAGTATTTTTTTTTCATACTTTTTGCCGCTGAAGACAGAAGAACTCTTGAATAAATACAAACAAATGTAAACAAATGCCTCACATAATATCAGAAGCATTTTTCGAAATGCTTCGATTTTATTTTGAAGTTTAATCTCTTAACTGCATTTGTGCAGACAAACCCACAGAGCAGATGTGAGTCTTTCCGTGCTCTTTTGTCAACCACAATATATGTTCAGGCGTTGTGATGTGTTTGCGTGCATGTGCATGCATGTGCGTGCTCCATCTAGGTCCTCTTTAAGCAGAGGGGGTTCATCCTCCAGCAGTGACAGATGGTGTTGAAGAGTCGACAGCGGCAGGAGGCGCAGGGGTCGCAGCACAGCAGGTGAGGGGAGCAGCTTTCCATCAAGCGTCCGCAGCGACGCGCCGGAGTTACGAGGTTCGACTTGTGCTTCTAAAGCAATTCCAACAGAGACAGAATATGTGGAAAAAGCACGAGTCAGTGGAAGAAGTGGAAAAGTCATTTAAATACGTGTGAACTATTTGACCCTCGACTCATGGCAGCTCTACAAAGCGTTTTAGTGTTGTTCTGGTTTTACAGCCATTAACTTCACTGTTATCACTAAACTATTTTTTTTTTCAGCCTTTTGGCAAAAGCTTCAACAGTTTGTTTTGTTGTTGGTTTTTAAATTTAGGCACAAGTCCTGTTTACTCTTTTAAGAAAAATCTCACTCACTGAAACACGTTTTGTTGCGAGAGTTCTGACAGGGACTATAAGAGGGAGTCAAATTCATGCTACATCATAGGACAACACATACAGTGCACTTGATCTAAAGTGGGCCAGACCACTTAAGATGGAAATTCACCTTTCTAACAATATGATAACATTTAATTACACATTTATTCTTTCCTGAATTTAGGCCCTTAAGTTTGACACCCATGGACTAGAAAGATCGAGCGTATTTCTTGCATAGTTCTTCTGTGACTTTAATGGTAAATCTTTTCACATACAAGGTCTTAAATAATCAGACCTCATCTTATCCTAAAGACCTCATAGTACTGTATGTGTCATGGTCCTGAGTCTGACGACTCAGTGTTTTGTGTTTCCTTATAATATTCTATGTTCTTGTTTATTCTGATTATGTCTTTTGTTAAGGTTTGGCATTTGTTAGGTTTCTGTTCTGTGCCTGCCTGCTCCCACGTCTCTGTGTTCCCTCTGTCTGGCCTGCAGTAACCTATTCTTTGCTCTCTTGTTTTTAATCCTGTGCATTTACTCTAAAATCAACATTTAAGTAGAAAATCATTAAAAATGTTTTTTTAGCATCTTAATAGGTTCCACATGGACAAATGCAAGGAGAATT